GCTGGCTCAGAAAGTCGCGTCGGGACGTCATCGTTCTGGCCTTGTGAAGCGGATTGTTGGTGTTTAGAGCGATGGTTGACAATGGCAAAAAAGCATCTGTCGCGAGCCACAGGCAGCATAGCCTTGTCGTAGGTGTGCAAAGGGAGCTTTCGACGGGTGCATGTTTACTGGCCAAAGTAGCATAAAAATGGTAATAAATCCACACCACTAACAGCATAACTGGTACCCACCTTTCCGCTTATCGATAATTACATCTTGATAATTTTCTAAGAAAAAAAAAGTTTCCCACCAATCCATCGCCCCTCGTCCCCGCGATATTGCAAGTGCTGCATTACATATTGTAATAGACCAGAGATTCCGTATTCACCATGGCAAAAGCCGACAGATCGAAGCGCAACAACGCTTCCAGCGGTCCCTACGAGAAGCCCAGCGGAGGAAGCTCATCAAAAACCAACAATGTCTTCAAGTTCAACACCAACTTTGGCCAGCACATCCTGAAGAATCCCGGTGTCTCAGACGCTATTGTCGAAAAGGCCTTCCTCAAGCCCACAGATACGGTCCTCGAAGTCGGTCCCGGTACCGGTAACTTGACGGTTCGAATTCTCGAGCGGGCCAAGAAATGCATCTGCGTCGAGTTGGATCCTAGAATGGCGGCCGAAGTGACCAAGCGAGTGCAAGGAAAGCCGGAGCAGCGGAAACTGGAGGTTCTGCTGGGAGATGTGATCAAGACAGAGCTGCCAGCCTTTGACGTGTGCATTTCAAACACTCCCTATCAGGTATGCTTCGATCAGACGCTGTGTAGCATCGTATGATACTGACCAGACTAGATCTCGAGTCCCCTCGTCTTCAAGCTCCTCTCTCTGCCCAACCCCCCTCGATGCTCCGTCCTCATGTTCCAGCGCGAATTCGCCCTCCGTCTGACAGCCCGCCCCGGCGATGCCCTCTACTGCCGTCTCTCCGTCAACGCCCAGTTCTGGGCCAAAATCACCCACATCATGAAGGTCGGCAAGAACAACTTCAGGCCCCCTCCCCAGGTCGAGTCCTCCGTCGTGCGCATCGAGCCCAAGATGGGCAAGGACCGGCCCAACGTCAGCTGGGACGAGTGGGACGGCCTGCTCCGCGTGTGCTTCGTCCGCAAGAACAAGACCCTCCGCGCTTCCTGGCTGGGCACGAAGGAGGTCCTCGCCATGGTTGAGCGCAACTACCGCACCTGGTGCGCCATGAACGGCGTACCCATCGACGAGAGCGTTGTCGAGGGCGACGCAGAGGAAGACGATGACAACGATATGGACATGGACGAAGGCGCCAATGACGCTGAGGACGCCGGCATGGACGTTGACGACGGCGACGAAGACACTCCCAGCTTCTTCAAGGATCTCAAAGCCGCCAGCGCCAACACCCCCAAGACCAAGAGCAAGCGCAAGAAGACAAAGGTCGCCGAGCTCGTCCGCGAGAAGATCCGCAAGGTCCTCGAGGACGTGACCGAGCTGGCGGACAAGCGATCCGGAAAGTGTGACGAAAACGACTTTTTGCGTCTCCTTTTTGCCTTTAACGAGGAGGGCATTCACTTTTCATAAAAACCCGATTCCCACCCTCTTGATTTTCTCTCCGTTTCCTTCCATCTTTCTCCCTCTCTTCTTTTACTTGAGCTGTTCCTTTCTCTATTGGTTCATATTCACGACATGTAGTGGTTTCAGGGGGGCACGAGTTTTACGAAGAATACCTCTTTTGTCAAGCTAGAAGACAGGTATTTCATGATTCACAAAATGGTTTGGCGAGTGGGGCGTTTCTAGGCGTTTACATAGCTTTGAAATGGGCATTCGAAGAAAGCATCACGTTTTTATCCCTTCACAATACATATATCATTTCAAGCACCCAAATATAGCAATTATAAGAACTCAATTTTTACCAACAAGTCTACCAAAAATATATACATCCATCAATATCGTCATCGTCGAAATCATTTTGTTCACTGTATCTTTTCTTGCCTCTCTTGTACTGTAATAAATATCTCGGGCATCAATCGACCGCTCTCCTTATTCTAAGACTTTGCACCATCCCCTCTTTTTTTTTTCCTCCTATCAAAGAAAAAAAACAAAATGTGTGTGTGAATGGGATCGACCGCCTATCATAAACCGTTACAATTACAAAAATGGTAGTTGCCACTTGCTCATCTATGTTGCGTATAAAGAAACTCCATCCGAATGCCTCGTGTGCTCCCTGTTTTTTACTTTTCATCTTGTACATTTGTGTTTAGAAGGGAATCTCCGTTCTCTGCCAGAGGGTGTATACCACATCAAAACCAAAGATAAAGCAAAAGAAGTAAAAAGAAAGGAACAAAGAAAAGAAAAGAGAAAGAAAAGAGTGGGAGGAGAGCCTCTCCCACCCTGGTGAGTCTGAACACACACACAAAGACCCAAAAAACACCTCGACTGGGTCAACTTTGACCTTGCCAATAACCGAATAAGCCATGATATAGTTGGAAATTTCAATCCAACGCCACTGCTCCATAAGAAACCTCGCTATGCGCGCTCGATGTACACAAGCCAAAAGGAAATGTGAAGTTGAAAAAGAAAAAACGAAAAAGAAAAAAAAGAAAAGAGAAACCACGGAGAAAACAGCACAATCTTAACGTAGCATACTCGAAAAGGTAAATGTCTTCGTTTTATGCCTCGAAATTCATCGCTGTGACGTTGGGTTTCTTTGGTGGGTTGTTGGCCGAATTCGGTTTGACTGTCGTTCGTCCGGAGACGGTAGCGCTGCGAATGCGTGCGCTCAGGGGAAGAGTATATTTGACCACGCCCTTGACAATGAGATCGAATTCATTTTGATAAATTCGCTCCCAGCGCTTGGAGCCGCCCGCAGTCCCATTGCCAGGGTATGGCAGCTGCATTTCACCGGTAGACGAGGAAAGACCCTGGTGGAATAGTGATCCCTCAAACGTCAGGGGGCTGTCGAACTCGGTTATACGTCCAAGCAGTATATTTGGCTTTGTCTCATCCTCGCCTCCGGGAGTAGTTGGATCATTGACAGGGTCGTCAAACGGACGGACCAAGTTGTCCTTTGGTCCATCAGGGTTTTCCCACCAGTCCGAATCGGCACCTCCATACTCCGACTTGGCGAAAATCTCTAGGTTCGCATGATCGATTGTGACAACAACAATGTTCGGATTGTGCGCCTTGACGGTGACATCAAACATGAGAACCTGCTCGCTGGTGACGACATTGTGGATGGAAACAATTTCAATGTCGCTCAGGGGCTGAGAAGTCGCAAACATGAAGCCAATGGCACCCGTAATGACCAAGAGGAACATCATGGTAAGGACAAGGCAGGCGGCAAACCGATTGAGATACGACGACCTCCTGGAGTACGATTGTGACTCGGCCTGCCGCAAGTTGTGCGGACCACGCCTGAATCGTCCTCTGTTGCGGCCGTTTTCAAGGAGAGGCGTATGCTCGTCGTCTGCACCAGTGGTTTCGTCCAAATCGTAGCTTGAGGACATGTGTATCACTGAGCGCTTAGAGTTCAGGGGTCCCCGCATGGAGGGGTGATTTCTCGGACTGGGGGGACCAGAAGAGTGACGAGAGTTGGCCACCTTGGGCCTAACCGTGTTCTGGAAAGGCGATTCATTGTCAAAGAGCGAGGCATGGCCGTTGCCCGGCTGTCGACCCCAGCGGCCTATGTGGTGATGCTGCCGAACAGTTCCTCGGCCAGAACCGCTCGCACTGCGGCCCGTTCCCCTGCCATCCTCGTCGCCGGTCAACATGCCATCGTTGATAGGACCGTTGACGTAAGTATTGGAGAACTTCATGCTCTTCTTAGGTGCAGGGCCATGGCTGTCCGTGATACCATATATGGCCCGCATGTTGGGGCGGTCGCCCTGGCTGACTATGGATGTTGCACTAGGTGTGCGAGAGTGGAAGCGGCGCGAGACTCGATCGCCAACGTCTGGGGGGTTAGAATCATAGACAAATGTTTCTTCCGAGTCGGAGGTGTTAGCTTCATCGACAGCGTTGGCAATCTTGGCTTCGAAGATGTCCGCCTTGGATGATCCTAGTAGTAGTTTAGCACAAAGGTTTCCTCAAGACCACAAAATACTTCACATGAAGTGAAAATCGGTTGCTCAAATGAACACAGAGACAAGAGAAACTTACCATTTCCACTATTTACTGGTTGTTTGCGGGATCTCTTCTTTTCCTTCTTGGGGGGCTTGATAGTCTCTGTGCTCTGTTTCGTTCTCAGAGTTCCATTCATGCCGTCAGGCTTTGGGCCTACGGCCAAGGCCACCTGGGGAATGCTTGCTACGGTCTCGGTCTCCACCGTCATAGTCTGCGTAGAGCCTTCAGGTCTGGCTTTGGCTTGCTTGGAGAGCATAACGGCACTCGACTGCCTCGAGAGGAGGGGTGGAGGGACAGAGGTAGTTCTCCTTGAATCGACCCTGCTGTCGCTGCCATTCTCATGACCCGGAAGCATAGGTCTGGCTCGTAATGTTCGGCCTCCATCTACATCTGATAGATTGGCGTCGTACGAAAACTTTTCCCCAGCCTGTTCAAAGAAGGGAGAGTCCTGCTGACGGCGGAAGCGGGTTGGAGCATTGGGCTGGCTGACTTCCTGGACGGTTTCCAGAGGCCCGCGGCCCGGTGATCGGAGACCGGACGCCATGTGTAGGTCCTCGGCTTCGCTTTCGCTGGTGGCCAGGTACTGAGATGAATCTTGCAGGACGGGAGATGGGCTAGGGTGCTGTACGTTGATAAGAGGAGGATCCTGCTCGCTCAGGCGAGGCGTGGTGCTGCCGTTTCTAAGCAGTTGCAGAGGAGGAGAGCGTACACGGGGCGACACGGGCCATTTCGTGGTGTCTCTCAACTCGGACGACAGTGCAGGCTTTTGCGGTGCGGGTGCCTGGACGTGGATCTGCGAGTCTTGGTTGGCGGTCACGGGCACGAGGGTAGGCGTGGTGGTCGCGGAGAGGCTTCGAAGACCGGAGGCAGGCCCGCCGAGGGTTGATGTTGACTGGACCTGGCGAGACGGGCTCTGGCTCTGAGCCTGCTGGCTGTTATTCCGTGATCTTGCGCCGTTGATCCTGCCCGACGTTGATGTTGCTCTCCGGGGATGACGGGTCGGGGAGGGGTCTCGGGAGCCCATGGGTGAATGGGTGACGGAGTCGCTGGCGGACGAGTGTGTTGACGTCGCCGTGGCAGTGGCACTTTCGCTGGCACTGGCACTTGGATTGGCACTGGTGCTGGACGTCGTACCGGGCTCAGGCGCACCAGGTGTGGGCTGATGATTCGCCATGTCGGGCCCGGCCTGTGTGGCGCCCTCGCCGTCAGTCGCAGCAGCCGGTGGCCTGTTCATGGCTGTGGATGTGGAAACAAGTCGTGGGTTCGCAGAGCATGCATGCCAACGGGGCAAGCCTCTACTGGGTGCTGGTGCTTCGGGATGCTGGTCTGGTTACTGGTTCTGATGAGTGGGAACGGGTGCGAGGTTGACGGCCTAGGCCCGGCTCATGGTGGTTGGCTCGCCGATGCTGCGATGCGGGAGGATCGGATGGGCGCGATGCCCAACGTTGAAGCCCTTCTTCCCTTGCGTGGTCGTACTCGTACTAGCTCTTGGTGTTTCTGGCTGGATCCTGGACGCCAGCCAATGGGTTCGCCTCGAGGGGGGGCGTCAGCGGAGCTCAAGCGGTGCAGCAGATGGAGCCTAGAGGGAGTGTCTGGAAGCAAGCTCGCACAGAACTGAATAAAGAGAAATATTATTTTCGAGCCGGGGAAGAGGATGACGGGCCAGAGAATGGGGCCTTTGGTTTTGGGACGCGGAGCGGAAACAAGTGCGCAAAGGATGACACAATCAAATCGGGTTGGCCAAGATGGTGGGACTTTGCTTCAGGGCCGCGCTAGCACCAGGAGCAGGAAGGTATGGAAGGGTGTGGGAATACGATGGAAGGGGAAGAAAAAAGAAGAAAAAAATTAGTGAGACTGTGAGACTGTGAGACCGCGAGAGGAGAGAGCGAAAAACATGGGCGTGCGGGAGTGGTGCTAACTCCATGGAGGGAACTTGGAGCCGATGGGAGGGTATGAGAGTACAGGTATGAGTGAGTACTTGTACATGCGACATGGGCGCAAAGCACTGCGACCAGGCGGTAGCACCAAGTACAGTGCGTGAGGGAAGTACAGGGCTTGTACCCGGGCAGCTGCGGGACTTGTGATTGGCACAGGTGGGACAGCGAGATTCGGCGGTCGGTTGATGAAAACCTTGTTGCAACACCAAGCTGGAGAGCTCCGGTTTTCTGTGCCAGTGGTAGGGCCTAGGAGGGAGACGAAAGCCCTACGATACTCCATACGATTAGGGGACTAAGGGGAAGGCGAGGATTCTCCTTTTCCATCGGCGGGATCAGGGAGGATTTCAATGGTTTCACTGAAGCAATATACTTGACGGTACGAGTGCCAATGCCAATCAATGCTTACTGCGGAGATGGCTCGGTACTGTACGAATACGTGTATCATAAGGGGATTTTCTTAGTAGCCAGCACCCCGAGTTGGCTATCCCTGGACACTTTATTGCAGATATAGATATAGATACGGGAAAGAGTAGCGATAGTAGAAGACAAGTCGGGGGCCGCTGAGCTGACTAGCAAATCCTACAACATAAAACGCCGAATAGCTGACTGCTTGATTGCCCTCGTCTTACCGTTTGTTACAAACAAATGAGTGCATTGAATACCTTACGAATACAAACCTCCAGTATTCAATTCACTAGGACATGGGGATCCGGTGCCGGTGCCAAAATGAACCTCGCATCGAGAGCATTGGATCAATTGAATCAATGTTTTGCACCAGCAACGCATTCGCATTAGCACCTCGCCAAAGCACTAGCCCCAAAGCCCAACCTCTTCGGTACGGGGCAGAGACCTGGCCAGTGCCCCAACCGCACTGGTCTGCTGACTGCTGTGCCAGCATCTCCTCGCTAGCCCAATGTACAGGCTACAAGGGTCAGTCAAGTCTCTCCCACTGCCCTGCCACTGACTGGCCTTTGTTTACTCCTCCAAGCACCTCGACTCGACGACTCCAGTTGCAGCACAACATTGCCAGGTGGCACTCGGAAGGCAGAAAGAGCCTGCAGCTAGTCGGTCCGTGAACCAATGGACAAAGACACGCCCGTCGAGTCCACGGTATCAGGTAGATTGATGGTGTCCTCCACCAAGCTGTTCAGCTTAGTGGGCTATTCATCAAATACAGTCACGGCTAGAGCATTTGATCATCCGGGCTGGGCTGGCCAATTTCATGCCGTCCAGTTGATTTCTTATATCTGACCGCTCGGCTTCACTAGATGGCACCATCTCAACGAACACAATTGCGACATACAGGGTCGAGAGTCGCGCTGGAGCCGCGGGAGCAACACAAGACACCAGCACCATTACTAGGCAAGGACGTCATGAAGCATATACAGTGCCAGCCGAGCCTTGCCCAAACAGAAGCCGGCAATTCATTTTTTTCTGCGGCCCCCAAAGAAGGAGAAGAGAAAAAAAAACAAATGATGAAAAAAACCTGGAATCAGACAAGCCATGCCGATGAAATGGGTGGTGCAAACACAGGCTCGCGGCGGCCCCCGATTCGAGCTTGCCCGATCCACTCACGTCATGGACAACAACAAACATGAATCCACCTCCCGACTGTATGGATGGGTTTCACTCCCGCGCCCAAAACAAAACCTGTCGGCACCACGGCACAATTTGCAGCATCTTCGGATACTGGCAGACCTCGTGAATGTCTGAGAAAATTGTCCAGGGCTCTGAATTAATGTCAAACCATGGGGTCGAAATGCTCATGCTAATTAGCTCGTGAATCGAATCTGCGTTCCACAAGCTCCCCCAACAAGCGGCGAGCCACCAAGACACGATCAGAAAAAAAAAACTTAACCGCAGGTTTTGCTCCGCGAGCCGCGTTCAATCGGTTCAACAAGTTCCGTGCTTTGATTAACAGCTCCAGCGACGGGCTAGCAGGTGCTTTGCATACATTTCCATGTATGTATGCATGTTATGTGTCAGTATCACGTATGCGAAATGCCACCTCTGACTAGTCGATGCCTGATAGCGCCCAAATAAGGCAGTAGGGATTTTTAGGATACCCCGATCCATTCCCCAGGATTTCCAGCGAGAGAGGCTAAGGGCGGCCAATGCCAGGGGCCGTCCCTTGTCACCATCTGCTCACCATCCATCCATCGGTCTGTATAACTCAACGGGCAATTGCCAGACCAGAGCACGAAGCAAACGTCGTCTGCATGAGCCCTGCGCGCGCAAGTCATGTAGACAATTTAAAATATCAACCCAATCCTACTCTGGTAAAATGGCTCAACCGGCCGGGGCAGCCCATTCATAGGGATGAAGATTTCCCGATGGAAAGAACCGGGACGACGCTCCCAGTCACAGCGCGGCTGTCGGTAACGGCCCAATGGATGGCTCGTCAACACATGATAGTTGCAGCCAGAAAAGCCAACGCCAACAAACCAGAGGCTCCTCTGGTAGAGATGAACAGACCAGTTTAGGCTCAAGCTGCCACCAGCACTCGGGCCCGTCCCGTTCCATCCGCCCGCCGAGATTGACTCGCTCTTACATGGCACTGGCCTGACAACACCAACACCATCACCAAGGCCAACACCAAGGAATGCCCTCACCACCCGCAATAGGACTGTTACACATTGTTTGGGGCTTTGGTCCTGAACGCCCCCAAGTCTCCAATCACACTGACAGCATCTCCAACCTGTGACCACCAGATGGAGCAGAGGCAAGCACACGTACTCGTCCACGTACGTGCCGTACACCCAAAAAAGAAAGCGGCCAAATCCAAGTCCTCTTTTGTCTCTCGTCTCTTCTTTTTCTTTGTCTTTTTCTTCCCCTCTGCCTGACTGACTCTTATCAACCTCGCTGACGACCACCCCAGCCCACTTCTCTGTCTGCCTCTGCAGTGGCACCCCCAAAAGCAACTGGCCCTATTGGAGCCGGTCCCCAGCAGGATTCTCCCATCAGCCTCTGCCGCCAGCCTCTCACAGCTCGACACGATAGATGCCACCCCTGTTCTTGTTTCCATAGTAGGCGCATGGCCCTAACCTGCGTTTTTTGCCCCTTGCCGTCCCGCTTGGGGGCCTGCAGGCGTTTCGACTCGCGTTAGACCTGGATGGGCAACGGTCTGTCTCTTTTTTTTTTCTTAATTTTTTTTGCGTGGTCCCTCTCTTTCTTAGTCGTGTCGTGAATTATCCCGTGATAGTATCGCACAGAGGTATCTACCTTACGTACTCCGTACTACTCATCTACTGGTGAGGTATTCCGCACTCAGTCTCGTCTGTGGCTGATTTCCTTTGTGATGAAGAACGCATTCAACTCTCGCTTATCCTTGCCCAGCAGATTTGGCGCTTGATCAGAATCTTTCATGCAGAGTGCTTTACCTTAATGAGCTGGTAGCCGTTATCGTAACACCAATCTGGTTCTTTGTCCTAGCAGTATGGAGCATATCGCATATCCCACGTCCATGTTTACTTGCTTGTTCAGATGTATCCAAAACTTCAAGCCACCCGTGTCTCCCAACGCCTCCCTCCATCTCTCATCTCATCCCGTGTACAGCTGCACTCATATGCCAATCCGTATGAGCCAGCGTCAATCTAGGCCTATCGGCCTCTGGTCTTTCTGCACAGGTGACCACGCCTCCATGTCGTCCCACCAAGGCTTTGCCTGCTTACATGTAGCTACCGAGACACCTCCTGCTGGTATATACAAGTATAGTAAGGACGTTGTCGAAATAGTTTGTCTGAACAGTGTCTAATTCGGCTTAAAGCCGAAAAGATCCAGAGCAGAGCTTACGATGTAAAACAGTCTCGGTAATAATAGCATTTTAGTACATTAGTAAGGCGATTTATACTTGGTAGTAGTAATACCGGTATCGTACTGAGGCATATTGATATTGACTCTTCTACACCGGGGGCCAAGATATGGACACCAAAACGCCCGTCTTTGCCAATCTATCGTTAAGCGAACGACTGCCTGATCAACCGCAAGGATAAAGCCATCGCCACACTGGCCTGTATGGTGATAGTTTGAATGTACGAATGCGCATGTACGAATATCTAGACGAATAACCCTACACATACGCCGTACATTAGTTTCGACTCCATAGTTCCATCTTGTCCCCAATCATACTACATCAAGCTGCTACGTTTAAATTCCCATTCAGCCGCCAAAATCTACTTACACGCCGCCACTCGAACGAGAGCCACAACTCCCTTGCCCGAAACAGTAGCACTCTGTAGATTTCTCACAACTTACACGCCTCTATCCTTGCGATCCCGCATCGCGCCTAAACAAAAACCAACACCCCCAACAAGTCCCAAATCTCACAAGACCCAGGACCCTTTTTTTTTCTTCACTATCCCCTACCTCTCTCTTCTCTCTACCTTACCGTAGTTAGCAAGACCACCTCTCACCGCCTTACTGCAACACAGTCCACACGCCCGCATGCACCGTTATGCAACGGGTCCCTCACTCACTCCAAAACATTGACCAAAAAAAAAAAAAGGACAGTGGCCATCCCACTCGTGATCGCACGTTGGGCATCAATCGTGCTGTAAGGAGATAACCTTGCATACCTTTTTGCCCATCGCTGCATACAACACAACAGCACCACTCACACACACACACAGTGCTCAGAAGACCACGCAAGTGGAGAGCATGTCGTAAAAAGAGCACATCACCAGGACTCACTCATGGAGAAACAGAAAAAAAGGAAAGACAAAGAGTGTCACTGGGGGCGTTTATCCCTAACTGACATGACATGTAACAAGCGGTCAATAAAAAATAATCAACTAACAAGAAAGAAAAAATAGTAAGAAAGTACGTACGCT